ATACCTAATTTGCAACATAAACCTGCGAGCTTGAAGCCACTAATTTATTTTAGAAAATATAACAAGATAATATGAACAGTCTGAAAACATAAAACTTCAAACAAGTGAAGTAATAACTGCATCAACAATAGATGCAAAATGACTATACTGATGGTAGCGTACCTTCCTAGGTTTGGAAGTCAGAGACAATTCTTCAGATTGAAGTGTCCTAAGGAACGCCATTATGGACCAAACCACGGGAGATAGTAAAAGCACTGCAATGCCAAATTCAAACTGCAGAAAAAGGGAATCACACACACAGTCAGTTGGTCAGTATTATAAATCGATATTTATAATCACAGATAACATAACCTTTTGCCCGGAAAATCTTTACCACCCATACCTGTTGATGTGTCGTGTTTATCAGATTAATTGTGCCGGGCCGGAAAATGGCCACAACAGTGGTCTCTATGCTAAACACAAAACTGAAGAGAAGCCACGACCGCTCAGGAGCACCAGCTATACAGTGCAGGACCAGCCTACACAGCTGAAGCCATTTCTCTAAACCACGGAGTCTAAGCTCTTCCGAAAATGAAATCTGATTAGGATGAATATTGTCAACGTTGGTCGAGTCCTCCACATTCACGTCTGTATTATCACGGTGGTCCCTATCTGCATCCAGACTACTCCTCTGTAGCAAAGCAAGGATCATGGGATCCAGCCCGTTCTCCTTCAGCATCACGGCAAAATTGGGATCGAGCCCTTTATCCTGCAGCAAGTTCATCAACTCAATCTCCCCTTGTGTCCCTCTTCTTTTCAGGATAGATGTAATCCTTGGATCACTTAGCTTCTCCTGGAATGCGAGCGCCAGATTCAAGTCCAGAACCTGACTTGTGGAATTAGATGCACTAGAGTCGCCACCATGGCTTTCCATGCCACTGCTTGAACAAGCTACCAAGCAGCCATTGTGGTCGGCGGTTTTATCGATAAACGAGGGCCCTGCTTCAGTTTCCTGAACAACCGAATGACAAGAGCCACTGTGTAGAACAAAACTTGGCCTTCCACTATCTATCCCTTTCTCACTAGGAGTCCCATCAACATTATTCCAACTAGTGAGCTCACCAGTGCAAGGTGCCGTAACATTACCAAGGTGGCCAGCATCTGCACTGCTACTGCGTTTTACGCTGGACCCGCTGCCCTCGGAAGAGCTGGACGAGCTGTTTTCCTTTTTACGGAATCCTTCTCTGAGGCGGATCACAGTACTCTCCAGAGCATCTCTTCTGGCAGCAGATGGATTCGTAATGGACAAATGACGGGAAACAGCAGCTCCAAGTAGCACAGATGCCACAATGGCATAGCTGATACAGTGCCCTAGGTACCTGTAACAAAGGAAAATTGGTTAAAGATTTAAAATACTTGATTTCCAGAAACAAATTTTCTTTTTGTCAACAGGGAATGGTGCAAACCAGTAATGTACTCCGAAACAGATCAGGAAGACACGAGAGGTCCCAGCAACACAGAGTGCAACAACACGACTTTTGAGGAGTTTGAATCCATAGAGGCATGTTCCGACATTCCAATCTAGCGGGTGGAAAATACAGATACGATAACCATGAATAACATATTCAAGAATTTGGAGATATGCAATAATGATTTATGTAGTGGTGTATATACCAAGAATAATTACTGCAGCAGATGTAATTGCTCCAAGCCAGTGCGACTCTTTGGCGGTCAGACCATATAAGATTGAATATACAAAGAGAACAAGGAGGGAGCCAAAATAGAGAAGCCCAAGATGTAAAGCCCTGCTAATATGAAATAAAATGGCATAACATGAAACAACCAACACGGTATGGACTAACTAAAAAAAATTTGGGTCCATGCAGTATACAAGCAGATATACGTAAATTAAAGTGTAATACGAATAGCATTGATAAGATCAACAAGGCCAAAACATTTGAAGAATGACAAATTAGTAAAGCAAATATTCATATGTTTGCAATTAAAACTGAGGCTTGCCTTCGAGATTGTTTAGGGTATAATTCATTGGGATCTGGTGGTTCAGGTAAGCAAGCCATGGGGCCTACTTCGATGCAATCAGAGTAAGCAAATTTATATGCCCTTCTCACATATTCATCAATATCTACACCATTTCCTGTCAGATTCATCCAAAAACTGAATACTATAATCCTGAAATAACGTAAAAGGCTTAGGTGTTCAAAGGAAGAAAAAGATGCACATCTTCAGCTTACCATTAAAAACCATTCTACAGATGAAGAGCATATTGATAGCTAGAGCAATTGCCGAGACACCAAAGAAGAACCCAGAAGGTGAATACCGTTCAGATGCCTTTCCACCAGCAGTAACATAGACTGCACAAAGTTCATATGCACATAGCAACCCAACAGCTAGAAGAAGGAGAACAGCAACAGCCCCTGTACCAAGTTGTTATATGGATTAGCAACAATGGATCACTATATTTAGTTAGCTACTTGGCTTAGTGAGGTGTGAACATCAACAAACAACTTAAACATAATGATCATTGGTTGGATCACTGAAACTCTAGAAATCTTGTCAACTACTGTAGACACACACACACACACATTATACGTATGTAATATATTGAAGACCAATACTAGCCAAATTATTAATTTCCATTCTGAAGCACTACAGCTTGGAGCTGCTCATATCATTTAGCTGTTCTGCTTAAACAAGATCGCAGAAAGATTGATGAGGTAACTTTTTATGATCTAGAAGTTTAGAACTCCACTATTCATATCTGGACAAACATGCAGCCTCTGGTCCCATTATTTTCCACGTAATAGGCAGTTACAACTAATATTTAAGGGAAACTTCCTCAACAGTTTACAGAGGACAGGATTGATAATGTTGATAGTAATGCATGAGCTTAGATATTGGGGACTAGTGACAGGTGTTTCTAAGCTTATATTTAATGATTCGGTAAAGTCACAGTTTATCATAGCTTACAAGATAATTTGATCTGACATTATTAGGACTCTGTTTGAACATCATTAACTCTGTTGATACTCATGTTGTTGGGAACGATGGTGCCTGCAGCCACCTCTTGTACATTTTCGGTTATATTATGTAAGATTCTAATTCTTATGGATCACTTTGGCCCCATAGTCACAGGGACTAAATAAAAATTATAAAGTAAAATTTTTCTGCAAGTCGAAGTTCCAGCACAAATATATATACATACTTGAACTTTGCCATTGTGTTCTCCACCAGAGCATAACGGAATAGAATGCCATAAGTAGAGCAACCCCAGCCATGATAACAGCTAGACCAATGAGATCTCGCCCTAAAATCATTATTAGCCAGCATCCCCATATTAGAAGCAGCAAAACCGGCGAGATAACAATCATCCACGCGAATAGGGACAGAAAACCACATAATATTCCCAGATGGGGTCCTTTCACGAAACCTGGCCATTTTCTAGCAAAGATCCAACTGAAAAGGCAATGTAGATAAATTCAGTCAGCAAAAGACATTAGTTCTTGACCATGTGCCAAATCAAGCATCAAATAAGCTGAAAGTAAATCCAGAATTGTAATTTAAAGTCTGAACAATAACAGAATTTCTTTATTGTATAATGAAAAAAAGGCAATAAAATCCTATAGGCACTTGGAACCATTCTGCCCATAAGGTGGAACAAGTAACTGGGGAAAAAATATATTTTGTGAGACATAAAAGGAAATAGAAGCGCAGAAAGGCAGAACTTAGGAATCAAGATGTTGCATCCTACTTTGTTATCTGCTTCTCCATAAAAGTTGCTTCAAAATAATAAAACTGTAAGTGCATCTATACACAGCCAATTCCCTAAGGCAACCAACACAAATCACAAAAAAAAGGGAAGTTCAGATTCACTATAATGGACTTAAGGCTGCAGTATTCATTAATGGACAATTCCCTAAGGCAATCAACAAAAATCATAGAAAAGGAAAGTTCAGCTTCCCTAAGGCTGCAGTATTCATTAATGGACTTAGTGAGAACAAATATATAACTATAATTAAAGAAAGCTCCAAATTTCAAGATAAACTAACTAAAACATGAAAATCTCCTCACTATGATATAAAGCAAGAACATGCTTGAGTCTTGACATTATTTGGTCCAGCAATGACCTTCAAAACTATCTATTATAGCTAGAAGCCTTGAACTCAGAACAAGTTCAATACTCCACCGAAAATAAATCAATTCTATAAATTGCAATGCACCATGAATCAGCATCAGTGAGATGAACTTTCAGTCGCACACAATCTCAGAAGAGTAAACATAATCTTAACAAAGAACTGTCCACTGCCTCTATAATACGTCCATTAGACAAATAAGTAAAATAAAAAATCAACAACATTATTTTCATCATTTTCATGTTTCCTTCTTAGTATCCTATAGTATCCTATATAGCAGGTAGGTCATGGGTTCAGACTCCATTTCAGCCTCAGGCAGCATGTCTAAAAAGCATAATTACCCAATAGTAACTAACTACCTAAACAGTAGGACTCGTGTTTTGCACAAACTTCGAGAATGGTACGAGAATCACAGTGTATGAAATTTAGATTCTTACAGCCATGTACTGACCCCTCTAGGCAAGGAAAGTATGCCCCAAGAATTCAAGATTACAACTTTCACAAGACGTTAAGCTGAAATCCCGGTTGTAACATTTCGTACTCAACCAGTCTTATTTTTCCAGCAACTGAAGCTTGTCTCATTCAAGCATTCAGGTAAACATGGATAACAGTAACATGAGAATTTAGAAAGCACTTACTGAATTACATGCGCATAATATCATTAACAGAATAATTTGGATGCATTTCCTCCCAGGATATGTACAAACTACAATGTGATGTCAATTGAAGAAAAACAAAAATACAGCTGACGAGTTGGCCAAATTAGTAAGGTTGGAAAGAACAAAACAAAATTGAAGGAGTGGGGCACTTGGCACAATAAGTAGGAGAAATAACCTGTAAATGCGCCAGGGCCTCCAATTCACCAACCAGAGTATAACAAAAGAAGCTGAACCCAGAATAGAGAAAAGGGTCCCTGAAATTACGCATGCCAGGACCAACTCATGCTCCGCTTCCATTTCTTCGCTGTTCACTGTCAACTAATTCACCATAAAACCCAATTTTACAAAGACACCAACAACTAGAGCCGAAATAACAAATATTTATCAGAAAAGGTAAATAACATGAGAAATGAGAAGGAAAAAAAAAAACCCTAGCCAAATGAAATTCAGAAACCATCAACGTGCATCGAATTACAATTAAAACAGATACTTCTCACTTCAAAGAGAGCAAAAACAACCAAAAACGGAAAAATGTAAGAAGTTTCAAGCAAAACTAGAAACCGTACCTATTCCAGTGAAAATTGAGGCATCTCTCTCAAGATTTAGTAAAAAAACCTACTGCAACTCAGCATAGTAGCTGTCCGCGCCACAATCAACAGCAAGTAAGCTACAGTTTTGCCCTAATTTTTTAGCACCATCACATCTATGAATACTGGAAGATGGGAGAAGTCACAAAAAGAAAAGAAAAATTATGCGAACACCAAATTTTTCTTTGCCGTAAGATTCAAGTTGAGGCTGGCTTAGTTCTGAAAACCCTATACTTACAGAAAGATGTGAAAT